GGCGCGCGGGGCGCGGGGCGCGGCTCGAGGGGCGCGGCGCGCTCGCCGGACTGCGACTCGATGTCGTTGCGTCGCTGGGGGCGGGAGTTGTTGCGGCGGAACCGAGACTCACCTGTAGTCGATGTGGATACTGTGATTATCTGTGGCTAGTGAGTGACCTATCATATCATCATCGTCCCCTGCATCCACGGGCTCCCCGCGACTCGACGTCGTCAGTCCACTCAGTGGGAGCTCTGCCCACGCTACGTCGCCACTCGATTATCTTCCTGGTCCATCTACCATCAGTCCTCCGCCGTGGCCCATACTACTTCAGTTTGCACATTTTGAGAGTCGGTCGCTTTGGTCTCCGCATTCAGACGAGATAGTGGACAACCGTCGACCTATTATATATATAAAAAAAGTAATGTTTACTCACCGACTGGCCAGTCCTCAAGTCCACTGGATCGGTCCATGCTATCCTTCTGTAGTGTCTTGTCCTCCATGGAGTCCTCCTTGTCTCCAGAGGAGTGTTCGTCGGAGGTAGAGTCGTCCAGTCGCTCGCGAAGTAATTCATGAGGGGAGGACAAGGGAACGACGGCGGGAGGAATAGGGGGAGACGAGGGCGCAGTGGACGGGGATGAAGGGGGAGGGAGCGCAGTCGCGGTGCGGTTACGCTTGCGTTTACGTTTACGAGGGCGCTGGGGAATGGAAATAATAATATACTAGGTATGATGTACAGGTACCTACGGCTACGCGACCAAAGTATTTTAATATCTATGTCAAAGAGCTTCCTCGCATAAATATTTGACGAGATGACTCGACTAGCTTAAAGCCACGCTGGGGTCCATAAAACAATATTAACTCAATAAATATCCCATAAAGGCCCATTACCCAAAAACTATGACATTATTTCGATCAAAGTAATGATGATGTCGTGTAATCATGACGTCACAGTACAGTACCTGTGGCTGACCTTCCTTCCCCCCTTGTGGTGGTAGGAGAGGGGGGGTGGGTGAGAGTCGCTTCACCTCGACGAAGTCCTCGATGATGATTTTCTTGTCCCCGTCCCGCGGCCTCCCGTGGGGGGTCTGTCGCGAGGGGATATCTATACGCGGGGGCCCCGCCACGGGGGTCAGGCTCCCCAGCTGTGAGAGTGCGTCGCTGGCGGGCTCCCGTCTGATCACTGACTGTACGGCTGGGTTTGATTTGTTTTTCTTAACTCGTTGCTTTACCTGTGTATCGACATACAACGAGATCAGGTTAATGAGGTAGCTGTATCAGTGTGTATGTTAGGGAGAATAAGAAATTGGATCATCATATTACATTTAGACAAAAAAGGAATTTTTGCCCCCTGATGAAGGTATCTGGTAGTTTCAAAGTGTAGATTCCTATGGACAAGAAAGAGCAAGAAACTGTATGTACTTAATAATTATTTTAAATTTTATTCTTTTTAAACTAGTTTTAAAATAGGGTAAAAGAATAAGAACGTAGACTTTATCACGTGGACAAGGTATGTTATGAGCAGACTGAGCATCTGATGGTAAGCAATCGCCCCGTCCAAGTACATCCGCAACACAAGAGGAGTTACAAGTTTGTTGCAGACATTCAGGGGGGTTTTTGGTGGGTCAGACATTTGAGGATAGAGGGGATTTGAGCTGAACCAGGAAGAGAGGAGTAAGTGTACAATATTATATAATTATGGTCTTTGATACTGACCCCTTCTCTCATCTGCGCCAGGCCCCCGCCTCGCGGCGCGAGCTGGTGTCGGGGGGGAGGGGGCTGCATGAGGGCGGGGGCCGCGGCGGGAGAGGGGTCGATGTCCAACTTGTTCAATACTTTCTGCGACTGTTGCTCTAGCTCTGTCACCTTGTTGCGCTCGAACACGCGGCCGTTGTTTATCACCTGTTAAAACATAAATACAACTTGCTACCACCATTATTCATCTCGTGGGTGTCGTAGACTCGACTAAGGAGCTACACCTTCCAGCAGCAGATTGGAAAAACTAAACCTGAACTGCGATCTCCACAACCTGGTATTAAGTAGAGGAGGCAAAGGACATTTATGCAGCACCAGACACGATGCAGCATAAATCTATATATATATAATTCAAAGGTGATTGACTGACTGACTGACTGACTGACATAGTGATCTATCAACGCACAGCCCAAACCGCTGGACAGATTGGGCTAAAATTTGGCATACAGATAGATGTTATGACGTAGGCATCCGCTAAGAAAGGATTTTGATAATTTCCACCCCCAAGGGGGTAAAAAAGGGGATGAAAGTTTGTATGAGACTTTGTCAGTTTTAAACCGATCGGGTTGTAATTTGGCATGCAGATAGATGTTATGACGTAAGCATCCGATGTGAAAGGATTTTGATAATTTCCACCCCCAATGGGGGTAAAATAGGGGATGAAAGTTTGTATGAGACTTTGTCAGTTTTAAACCGATCGGGTTGAAATTTGGCATGCAGATAGATGTTATGACGTAGGCATCCGCTGTGAAAGGATTTTGATAATTTCCACCCCCAAGTGGGTAAAATAGGGGATGAAAGTTTGTATGAGACTTTGTCAGTTTTAAACCGATCAGGTTGAAATTTGGCATGCAGATAGATGTTATGATGTAAGCATCTTTTAAGAAAGAACTTTGATCATTTTCACTCCCAAGAGGGTAAAATAGGGGTGAAAGTTCGTATGTAACTTTGTCAATTATAAAACGATCTGGTTGAAATTCGGCGTGCCGATAGATATTTTGACGTAAACATCCTCTAAGAAAGGTTTTTGATCATTTCCACCCCCCAACGGGGTAAAATAGGGGTGAAAGTTTGTATGAAACTTTGTCAGTTTTACACCGATGGGGATAAAATTCGGCATGAAAGTAGATGTTATGACGTAGGCATCTCCAAGTAAGGATTTTGATCATTTCCACCTCCAATGGGATAATGTAGGGGATGAAAGTTTGTATGAGGCTTTGTCAGTTTTACACAGATCGGGTTGAAATTCGGCGTGCAGGTAGATATTATAACGTACACGTCCCTTTAGAAAGGTTTTTGAACATTTCCACCCCAAAGTGGGTAATATAGAGGTAGAGGGTGAAAGTTTGTGTGATACTTTGCCAGTTTTAAACCGATCGGGCTGAGACTTTGCATGCATAAAATTACTATGACATAGGTATCTCCTTAGAAAGGATTTTGATAAATTCTACCCCTAAGGGGATAAAATAGGGAATGATAGTTGGTGTGAAATTGGGAATGAAAATTGAATCTAGAATCATTGAATCTTTTTAAATTACATTCGGTAAAACGATGATTTGGGACCTGAGTAACGTATGATAGTTTTTATCACAGAAGTCCCTCGGGAACGGGAACTATGCGTCAATGCTCCAGGACTCTCTTTCTTATCTCTTAACCACTGAACTTATTTCATAGAGATTCTGTACAACAATAGTCGAAGTTTTTATTACTCAAAACTTACGTGATCGGGCCGGGACTGGTAAGAACCCTGCGGGATTTTTAATTTACGATAAATCATTTCACAATAGGTAAATCTTAATTGGGCACTGAATTGATTCTGATGAATTCTGTCAGAAGTCATTAATCTACGCGGACGAAGTCGCGGGCAACAGCTAGTAAAATATAAAAATGACAATAAAAGTGTGACAGTGGAAGTAAGATAAACAGTAAGCAAAAAAAATTAAAACAGAAGAATCATAAAAGAAACGCTAACAACATGCCTATGCTAATATTACAGCAGATTTCAAACGAAATGAAGTCATTATAAGTTTCGTGCGACATACTAAATTAATTAATATGTTCTCGGCTTCCTCACGTAATTATTTGACGAGGAACTCGACTAGTTTCAAGCCATGCTAGAGGCTGAGTAGTAGCGCGACAGTCGCCGCGTTGTTCGCGGAACCCGCTTACATGAGTAAGCCGAAAAACATAATAATTAATGAAATGAAACCGATTTCTGACATTACTTGTATAAAGTTTCTATCGAAAACCCGAAGATCTTTTACTAAGAAGGTCATAACGTCAGCTGCAGTGTAGTATGTAAGATGGGTGGCAGTACCTTGACATTCTTCTCGTTGAGTATGGTTACGAGGTCCCGGACGAATGTATTGTTGGGGAACAGTTGTCGATGCTTGCAGTGGATGTCCACCTCCAGATGTTCCTCGGTGCCGTTCATCAAGGTCCTCATTATCTTCAGTATGAACTTGTTCTTCGTTCGCTTTTTGCTGCGACTTCGCTTGCGTCCGTGACGCTTGTGGTGCTTGCCCTGTGTATGAGGGAGGGAACGATGTGAATTTGTAGAATATCTAGTTCGATGGCGTTAACGATAACTAAGTGTTGTATGGTACTGGCGCGGAGACAAATGCCGGAATACTGAAACGTTACTCAATTTTAAGTCGTGCTTAAATATCGTGCCGTCTCTGTCATTTTACTAAGAATTTGCAGTGACAGAAATATACTTAAGCGCGACTTAAAATTGAGTAACGTTTCAGTATTCGGGCAAAAGTTAGTCAAAATCCAAATATTTATTTTAATTAATCCGTAACTAAGTCTGTACGATTCGTATTCTTATACTTGATGTTGGAGTGTGTAGAGGAAAGATCACTCAGATAATGTGACTACAAAGTTTATTGCACCCTAGTTTAGTACAGTCGGAAATTCCTTTCTCATTAGTTATTTACTTCGTTATTAGTGAAAACACCCTGCTCGATAATTACTTGAAATTTGAGTATATATTTAAGCAATATCGCGCGATCGAGCCGATCTTAATGTCAGCAAAATATCTATTTACCGTTGAAGACTGTAAAAAGTAGGTACTTTTAAACCGTTAATATTATGTCTGTATGTTAGTGAATCTAGGGCCTCACATACACGCACAATAACGAGCAAGAAACTAAATATGTAGTTAGTTTCGCAAGCGAATCTGTGAAATATTTGCGCTAGGCACTCAGTTGAAGACACAAGCACGCTACTGTACACGTGCACTATTCTTATAGACTTCATCGTAAATCAATTCCTAACTTTTCTAAGATCTCTCTAAAGCTTCTGACACGGTCTATCTTTCTAAACCCACATATTTGACACACGAGATCAGTGAAATGTAGATACTTCTAAAACGTCATTGCTTTCATTCAAAACTATACTTTAAACTTAAAGGTCTTGTGTTAAAGGTTAAATTTGAGAGAGGAATACTTTGTTAATTTTGGAGTTCCACAAGGAAGTATTTTGGGTCCTTCGCTTATTTACTAATCATGACAACTGAACTACTAAACCAAATGGTGTAATATTCGAGTATTACTCATGTCATTTGCCTTTTTAAAACTCGAAATTAATTAAATAATATAATTCCGTACCTTATGTGAATGTCGTCTAATGGTGGCGTTCCCTTCGTCGTCAGTCCGCGTGTCCTCCAGTAGATTGGAGTTCGTATCCGAGTAGGACAATAGTGACCGGGAGATACGTCTGTATACAATATAATTACGTATTACTTGCCTCACTGACGCATAATTAAATGTTTCACCAACCACCCCTAACTCATCTCTTAACTAAAACTTATTCAGCGTCTAAACTAACCCCTTTTTTGGCACTAGCTCACATTCCTTCTTAAAAGCCCGGCAACAGACTCGGTAACTTCTGTAGTGCCAAGTTTCCACGGGCGACTGTGATGGCTTACCATCAGGTGATCCGTCTGCTCGTTTTTTTATATATATTTGGCGGGCCGACGTTTGCCCACTGTATCGCCTGGTGGTAAGCGATGATACGGTCTACGATGGAGCACGTCGTCCCTTAAGCAACTTATTTATCAAGACATTGCCTTGAAGACATCCAGGTTATACCCTTCAGGAAATACAGCCTCGGCAAAGAATTTCACTACCTAGTAGTACGCACAAGGAATCTTGATGCGAAGCGCTTCGTTTGTACCATGAGTCAACTCTCAACACTAGCACAGCGCTGTGAGTGAGGACTGTGGAAACCAATCCCTAAAATCTCCAATTGCCTAATCCCTAAGGGGACGTCCATTAATCACGTGACGCACAATGAGGGGGTTCGATAAAAAAATCATCAAACATCAGGAGGGGGGACGGGGAGCTCTATAAAATATCACTTGTACATATTTATTGTTTCTTCAAACGTGGGGTTTCTAAACGTTAGAACAGACTGTAGTATGGGTTTACTGCACTTCCTGACGTAGTATGAATGTATTTCTAAACTTTAATCTGAGGCCTTAGTACGAGTTTGATTTACGTTAAAAGTATTCGAAACGAGTACGCGTTCGGCGCTGTGATTGGCCGGCGCCAATGAACCAACCAATCAATCAAATACCTCTGGTAAAAAGAACCACGTGATGAATGGACGGCCCTAAAAGGCCGGCAATACCCTAGCAACACGACAAGTGTGGCGGGTGTGGTCGTTACCAGTCTATTGCAATGAGTGTATGTATGTATGTACGAGTACCGACCTCTGCCCGCGCAGTCTGTTCAGTCGCTGCTCCCTCTCCATGCCGAACCTGAGGTCGTCTGTAATGGACAGCAACGTGACTGTTATACAATATTACTCTACTTACTTTATAATTCACACAACGACGCCTTGATTTTTTTTTGACATTTTGAAATCATTGTCTTGACGTTACTTAATAATTAATTAAACAACATTAGATTTATATTGTATTTCATGTAAGAAACAAACAGTTGCATGCCTGGAATATGTGGAGTACATTGTACTGGAAAAAATTAGACTAAGATGCATTGTATCACATGTTCCTGCGAATAAATTTCTATTTCTATGAATGAAATGAGTTAATGTGAGTATAGAAAGTGAGTGAGTGAATGAGTTGAGTAAGTACCAATAAATGAATGTAGTAAGCCATAGCTTACTACACTCATATATATTTTATAATACATATATTATGAGCACAACCGAGTTTAGAAACTGAAGTAAGTGTAATAAGTACCACTGAGTGAGTGTAAGCAAATCCACTTAAATTCAGTGAGTACCACTAAGTGAGATAAGTAAGTGTAGTGAATATAGTGAGTGTAGCAAACTAGTGAGTACCAATGAGTGACTGTGAGCTAATCTAGTGGGTGTCACTGACTAATTGCAGTGCGTATAAGCAACTGTAATGAGACTAAGCAGGTGTAATGAGTATCACTAAGTATGCGTATTGAGTATCACCGAGTGAGTGTAGTGAGTATAAGTGAATATAGTGAGTATTACTGAATGCTACATACTGGCATGGAAGTTGTTATCCTCGGTATAGTCGATGGTCCAGATCTGGTCGGTGTGTCCGGGCCCGGCCAGACAGGGCCCTGCCCGGACGTCGCCGATGTCCCGCGGCGCGCGCAGACACAGCTTGGTGGCGACGTGCTGCAGCTGGCCCGAGCTCAGCCGGCGCCAGCGCTGGCCGCGCTCGCCCGCCTTGCACGCCGTCATCACCACCGGCCGGGACGGGTCGGCGCCGCCCGACTCTCGGGAACTGATCGTTCAACAACCCACTGTATAACTAAACTTACCTTACACTCTAATGTTATCAATGCGACAGTTTGTGTGTATGTTTGTTACCCTATTACGTCATAACGGCTGAAGGGATCGGGATGAAATTTGGAACAGGGGTAGATTATGGTATGTAATAACACATAGGCTATTATCCCAAGGCAACGCGCGCGAAGTCAATGGTAAAAGATAGTATTACATACATTTAAACTGTCAAACACCGCGAGGACACCGGTGACCGCAACCTATTGTTCTTTAATTGTGTCTTTAATGACGGTACTCGACGAGTTAAAATAGGTGAACGATTGGCCACTAACTCTCGAGTGGTGTACCTGAGCACAGCGCCACTAGTTACCTGGTAGTCTTGACGATGGCGCAGTTGAACTCGTCCCTGAGCTCGCCGGCGAGCGAGAAGGAGAAGTACTGCGTGGCCTGCAGGTCGGGGTGGCAGGGGTAGGCGCCGAGGAGGGAGTGGTATGACAGAACATAGCGCCACTAGTTACCTGGTAGTCTTGACGATGGCGCAGTTGAACTCGTCCCTGAGCTCGCCGGCGAGCGAGAAGGAGAAGTACTGCGTGGCCTGCAGGTCGGGGTGGCAGGGGTAGGCGCCGAGGAGGGAGTGGTATGACAGAACATAGCGCCACTAGTTACCTGGTAGTCTTGACGATGGCGCAGTTGAACTCGTCCCTGAGCTCGCCGGCGAGCGAGAAGGAGAAGTACTGCGTGGCCTGCAGGTCGGGGTGGCAGGGGTAGGCGCCGAGGTGGGCGTGGTCTGCCTCGCGCTGCAGGGTGTCGAGGCACATGTTGGTGGCCTCGTTCTTGAACCGGCCGTAGCCGTACACGTCCCGCACCGGCACGAACTTCTCCTTGTAGATGTTGTCCAGGTACCATTGGAAACTCTTGCATTTTAACTTCTCGCGGAGCACTTTACGATGGGTCACGTCGCCGATTTTTGGGTTGTTCTGTGAAGAGTAGTTTGTTAGGGTGTAATACATACATAACGTCACGCCTTTTGTCTCTGAAGGGATAGACAGAAGCGCATTTTACGGTACTTAATGCCACTGTACAATATAACACCCACTTTTTACCGACTTCAAAAAAGGAGGACGTACTATGTTCGGCTAATTGTTTTTTTTTCTTTGTTTATTCGCGCAATATTTTGCCATTGGTGAACTGATTTACAAAATTCTTGTTTTGTTTGAAAGGGCATACTCCCGAGATGGTCCTATTTTCATGAGGTTAGGATCTGATGTTGGGATTCTAGGAAAACCGAGGGGAACTTTCAAAAATTCTATGGATGAGTAATGCGTCTATTGTGTTTCAATTAGGATTTTTAAACATTACAATTTGATAAGGGTCTGGAGTCGACCTGATGATAGAGCCGACAGACAATTGAGAAAACTCCTCAGCGGTTTATATTAACTACCTTTTGTTTGGGCTTGATTAATTTGTATTGATGAGAACTTTACACCAAGATAGAGTGAGGCTGTCATTAAGGGTCTGATGATGAAGAAGTGATTTGTTAAGGGAACTCCTCAACAGTATACAGTAACGACCTTGTGTTTGGGCTTGTATAAGGTATATTGATTAGATCTTTGCACCAATGTACATTATAAGTGACAAAACGGATCTATGTAGCTTTACACTAAAATTGATAAAATAATAAAATAGAAATTGGGTTTAAAAAACCGATTTCAAAAAAAAGACAAAACTAAAAAGAAAAAAAGTAACTATTATTAGTACTGATAGGTTACCCACCCACTGATACACTGATTACAAAATTATTCATTAAAACCTTAATAGATACATAATTTACAATTTTGTGGCCAATAAGTTACATCATTATGATATGAGCCGAGTAGTCACAAGTGCGACTGCCGGGCAAGCGGTCTCAGGTTCGATTCCCGGGTCGGGCAAAGTACTACTGGGTTTTAAAAAAAAATCTCAGTGGTAGCACGGAGTCTGGAATTGTGCCCGGTATATGGCAATATGGAATATATGGATATATGGAAAAGTCTGGAGGAGGCCTTCACCCTCACATAAGAGGGGTTCTTGCATGCTTGCATGATGTATTATTATAATTTATTCACCTTATAGATTGAATATTCTTGGAATTTTATTTATTATAAATGTACATAAAATTGAATTTATTATAATTATTTTAAATTTTAAATGTGTAATTAAATTGATATAAAAGTAATTTTAAATCAGTAATTGAATTCATTTAATGATGATTCTCATAACTTTTATAATTATTAATATGGAACATAAATAATTTTATTATTTAATCATTTTTAATTTTTCATTTGTTGTTATGTTTTTTTTTCATGTTAAGTAATTTTGCAAGAAATAAAAGGCTTTTTATTTTATTATTTATTATTATATGGCAATAGGCTCACCCCCTATTACATGGGACTCTTAACATAAATAGTGAAAAGTGGGTGTTACATTGTACAGTGGCATTAAACTGTCAAACACCAAGCGGTCACCGGTGGCCGCAACCTATTGTTCTATAATTGTGTCTACAAAACCGGTACTCGACGAGTTAATACAAATATTGTTTATTTCGTCAATGTAGGTATGTTACAATAGATGATAGATAATATTATAGTAGTTCGCTACATTGTGTCTATACAGACATACAAAATTTTTATAGTATGTTCTTAATCTAGTGTGTTTACAGACAATAATCTTCCCTGTCTACATTATGGAACACTAAGTGCCATAATGTGCACCTCTGTCTACCCCTTCGGAGTAAAAGGCGTGATATTATGTTATAAACAATTACTTGCTCAAACTATATCAAGAAAATAGAGATAATAAATGTTTGGGTTGTTGAATTGGCACAGATAATTTTTACTCAAGAGGATCGTAAATTTAATACAGAGCCATCTAGTAGATTCCAACAGTACTAACATCAAAATAAAGCACTACATGGGTTAGAAGTAATTCAAGTTGCTTGGGCATGTCTGCATGGACTTTTAAGGAAAAAATGTTTGGAGACTTGGAGTCCCCGTGTTCGTGTGAATGGCTAGTGGGTGTAACTCACCCGCAGGTCGGGGCGGTGCAGGTAGAACAGCTCGGCGTACTCGTCCATCCACACCTCCGCCATGCGCGCCGTGTTGATGCCTGGAACACGACAGAGGGCGTCACTATACATGTTGCTAGCATGTCGGTGGTTCAATCCCATCTTTCGGTCAAACTATATTTACGATACTATTTTTTAAGGGGAAATCATCCAATGACTTCTCTCGCCTCGGCTGAGCTGATTACTTGTGGTATGTGAATGAAATAAAAATGATTTTGTGATGAAGTGATGGCATAAAAAATATTTCAAGGACAAATTAAACTCTTCTTCTTCATTTTCCTACAATTACATTTTTGTAACATAGTCCCCCACTCGAAGATGTTCTCTGTGTCGTGGGTGCGTTTACAAACATTTAATTTTCCATGCACATCACACCAAGACACAAAGAGTTCCATACGGGAATCGAACCCGCTACACGTTACACAGTAGCCAGTCGCCCAACCACCGCGCCAACCGTGCAGACAGTTTGGGCGTGTTGACGTGCGTTATGTATGTGTGAAGTATAAGTCACCGTGCGTGTCCATGTGTGAGGGCATCCCGTACGGGTGGAAGCTGCGGAAGACGTGGCCCACGCGGGAACAAGGGATCGTCTCCAACGTGCCGCCGCCTGGAACATTCAGTATATCGTCAAAGTAGATCATGCGACAAACGTATCGACCGTACAATGGGACGTTCATCTAACATGTCCGGAGACAGGCATAGAAACAATTCTTCGTCGTCTACTGCCTCCCACAGTCCTCCCCCAATGACTCCACATCGCCAGGTTGGAAGCGCCCTGCATACAGGCGACTGTCGCAGACCATCACCAGGTCTACTGTGATTGTGACCAAAGACCATCATCGTGAGTCGATGACAAACAATTTAAGAAAAAAAAACATGGTGAAACTGAATAATGATAGTATGTGCATTGACTAACACTGCCAGATCCGGAACGACATCTCGAGGTTCTCTCCCCCCCAGCCCCCCATCTGCTCGTCGTACGCGCCGAGCTCCCAGAAGTACGTGCGACTGATCGCGAACAGACCGCCCGCCATCGTCGGAGACCTACACATAGTCAACAGTCAATCATTTATTCCAAATAGACTAGGAAGGCACATTTGAACGTCAAATAACGTGTCAGTCTGTCGGTCAGTCCTCTAGTTGCTCCATATATGCTTTTTTTTCAAGTGTAGATTTCTATCAAGGTGTTCTTCTGAACAAGCAAGAAAATCCATAGGTTACTCAAAATATATCATCTCTGCTCCCCGATAAGGCCAATAATATACTTGGGAATCTTTCGAATGTTGCAGGATTGATTGCTTACCATCAGAGACGCTAGTGCGAGTGTGTTTCACGCTAACGCGATCGACACATTTATGACGTTAGTCGCTCTGATTGGCTACTCAAAGTTAACCAACCAATCAGAGGGCTCAACGCGGTAACGTTTCGATCACTTTAATGCAAAAAGAACCTCACATTAGGTCCTTTGGTAATGTATAAGTAATATGAAGTAGTATAGTGATACTGACCAGGTGGGCGCTATGTCGGAGCCGCGCCGCTTCTTCTCCCGGTCGGGCACGTCGGTCCACGTGAAGTGGCCCATGAACGAGAACCCGCCCACCTACACACACAACAACATATAACATGCGCTCTAAAGTTAGCAGCGAGTACGCAAAGTGACAGAGAAAGCAAAGCCTATCGCTAACTTCAGAGAGATATTAAACGACGCTAGCGCCTCTAGCGGATAGCAGACGTAACTAAAGCGATATTTCTCAATTAAGCTATGTAGACATAATTGTACAAGTTGGAATGAACATGGAATCTAAGCAGTTGCCTTCAGTTACGCCTGCACACACTGTAATGATGTAGCGGTAGAAGAATGACAAATGATTGCACATTTTATTAATTTTAAAAATCAAATATTCACCAATTTCTTTAAAATGTGCAATCGTTGTCATGGGAAATTAACTTAAAATTTACTTTAAAGACACTTTAGCTTGTATAAGACATGAAAGTAAGCACGCTGTGCGAGTGAGACAAGAATAGTTAGTGCTACAATACTTCGACCCGACTCCGTCTACATCCAACACAATAAGCTACATGAACATACATTACTTATTTCTCTAACTAGGTATATTAAAAATAACTATCTAATAATATTTACAACTACATCAACCGAGTACGTAACACATGATTATGAGTCCCAGTTTAGCACGAAATTAATCGGGCACTCTCGAATAGTAAACATGAGTAAAATGCATATATTATTTGTTTCGTGTAGATTTGTGTGTTTGTAGGTAGTATAGTAGAATCATAAACTTGTACGTACTTTGAATTTATACATAATTAACATATAAAAACGTAGCGATAAGTTTAATTACTTATTATCAAATTAGAGATTGTATTATCTTTTAATTGGTTGGAAAAACACTATTTTTTAATGTTTGCATAAAACAATATTCCTACATTCCGTATATAACCATGAACATTACTTTCATTTTACATCCCTATTATAGCTACTGCCAGCGGTTTCAGCCGCGTTCCCCCTACCCTAACCCTGTTCAAATTTCATCCCGATCTCTTCAGCCAAACTTCCAAAATACACATAAACCATTAACAGGATTATTATATTAACTGCGTATATACAATACACCATCACCGAGTTATTGTATCAGTGCCGACACGAGGACTCACAGCTTTACAACTATAGTGTTAATATCAAGCACTTTCAATTCAAACTTCATTGTTCATTAAATGTTAGTTGTCCTTGGCATTCCATGTTAATAATAAGCACTTCAGAAGCGAATTACACCTAGCGAGCGCCCTAGGCAAGCACCTCAGAGGCGCCTCTAAATTATTTTGGCGCAGCTACTCTTTGGGCAGTGGCACACGCCTGGCGCCCGGCACTTGTCTAGTTTGCCTCAGGCATAATACGGCTCTGCACTTCGTCGTTAGTTCTTGGCATTTAGAAGTAGACCTGGAAGGTGTCAGTAGCTTCGAACTCGAAGGTGGTTTGGTGTATGACGTCGATGATAGGCGTGAGCACGGAGTCCTTCTTGTGTTGGATCCGCTGCAGCAGAGGTCGGAGCCAGTCGGCGCCAGCCTCGCAGTGCGCGTCCAGGAACACGAGCACGTCGCCCCGCGCCGCGCGGGCTCCCTTCAGCCGCGCCAGTATCAGACCCTGGCTGCGGCACCATCACATCTACATCATCATCATATCAGCTACAGGACGTCCACTGCCTCATATAATTTTCTCGTAATGACTTCCTGAAGCGACCTGTAGCCAGCGGTTGCCTGTGACCTGCGGTACGGCCCGCGGTACCACGGTTCACATCTATTATTCATTACTGAATGAACACACAGGAATGATATCACTTATATTGTAATCCAGTCGGTTTTAAGTTAACTGTTTCACTATCACTTTCTACGCCTACTTTAACGACGCTACTTAACAATATATAGTTGCTTTTAATTCAGGCACTACCCCAAACATGTTGGTGTTCTTACATACTACACATAGTTATAAAACGAAACCAAACAGATAGAGACCCGGATAGAGAACCCAACACAGTGACACACACGCACACACAGTGTATGTACACACACATACACACACAGACGCCCCTCGACACAGGACAGTAGCTGCGGAAGGTGTAAGGGTTCAGGGACATGTGGTAATGACGGTAGATAGAGCAGCACACGCAAGTAAACAGGCAGATAGAAATAACAAGTAAAAGATCGACCCGAGAATTAAGGAAAGGGAAATTAAAAGAAAGAGGGAAGCAAACATGTCCGTTTTAACGGATCACGCGCAGGAAATCAAACGGTGGCACAAATCTGAATGAAATGTAAACAACCGCGCGGCTGAGTGACGGACACACGACACACGACACACGACACACGACATACGACACACGACACACGACACACGGTGCACAACCAAAACACAGCGACAGAACAACAACCGCCAGGACAGCTCGCACTAATGCACGTCCGCTGACTCGATAGTCATCGCAGGTCTAGTAACAATGGTCACCACACTCTTATTTTTATAATGAACCGAATCAGGACAAAACCAATCAATGAAGATCCCACTCAAAAGTTGATACAGGGTAACTGAGCCAAAAGCCCCTTGATTTAAGACAACAGACGCCATGAGGCAAGTATTGAATGAGATACTACAGCGAGCGGTGCAGTGCAAGCACGGAGACACACAGGGGGGAGGGGGGGATGCGGGGAGCGTGGCAGATATTGGCAGAAAGGATATTGCGGCCAGTACTATAACTCGTCATTATGTCTGAACTGTTCGCAAAGAGCCTCGAGCAGAAATCAAAAGTAATAATTTGTTTTATCTTTTTCCATAATTGAATCCCAGCCGTGAGGTGAAATGTGTTTACTCGCGACGGCTACTACGATGGCGTGGCGTGATCAATTCATTACAACTACTGTTACATGGTTCAATCGAGCGTGACTCGCAACTAGCGCTAAAGTGAAGGCATCTAGTAATGAGCGCTAAGTGAGCAAGCACTGGGCGATGCAATATCTGCCACTCGTCCCAGACAGTAACCTGGAATGTTTTGGTGTCGATCACGCTGTAGAAGAAGTTGTTGGACTGGATGACGTCAATGATGGGGACGACGACGGTGTGCGGGTCGTCGCTGATGGCCTGCAGCAGCGGCCGCATCCAGTCGGGCTGCGACTCGCAGTGGGAGTCCAGGAACACGAGCACGTCGCCCGCCGCGTACCGCGCGCCCGCCAGTCGCGCGCGCGTCAGGCCCACGCTGCGACCAGACACACGTCAACATTGTCACTGACGCCGCGCCACGGCGGCACGTTACATCCAACAGTTCATACATCTCGGGGGCACCTTGTAACAATGTTGATTTGTAGAGCCCACAATGTTTGCAGCTGACGTCTACATACAAACACATACCTATAGCGACAGTGCCAACCAGTGTTTAGTACAACAATGCAACATTTCAGTGGAATGAGCACAACGGGAACAGTTTCCCGTGGTATATTGAGCTTTATTCCTAGAGGAACATAAGTGGCACCCAGGTCTACCTCGTCGCTCTCTAGGCTCTCGGCGAATAGGAAATCGTTTGATGAGATAACGTCAATGGCGGGTACGACCACTGCGCTGCGGTTGTCGTGGACGCGCTGTAGGAGCGGCCGCAGCCAGTCTGTGACGGCCTCCGTGTGGGAGTCCAGGAACACCAACACATCGCCCGTGGCGACCCGGGACCCCGCCAGCCGAGCCCGGATCAATCCGGTCCTACGAACGATAGCTTCATAGCTAAGACACAGGTTTATATCAACATAAATTCCCGTGATGTTGTTGATAACATTCTAAATGATTCGACTAAGACTGGGTTCCACAGGGTACTATTTTAGGACCAACGCATAACATAACTAATGCATGTTCTCAACTGTAATGCAACGCTAGAAATAATAAGAAATTAAAACATTACAGTCATCCGGCACATGTTTTCACGGTTGAATGTGGATTGAAATAATTATTATACTTACAAGGTTTGTATGAACTTAAGATCGTGAACGAACAAATGATTTGACCTTATAGTTTCATCATGAAGGACGCTTTGCAAACATTATAATGACAAGTAATGAAGATCAATCGAGGTAACATTTTGTTTACAATAGACACGTAACTTGCGCTATATTCCTAGTACTGTTGCACCTGCGCTTTCATTACAGTATATTGCTTTATTCATTCTACTATTTTCCGTATATAAAATCAGTTATGAATAAATATTAATATTGAGAAGTATATGTTGTTATGTATATCTTGAAACTGGTGTGTTTCTGTCTGTCTGCGTATCCTTTATTGTAAGGACGAGCGTAGTCAGTAGATGATGATGTTAATAGACCAATAAGTCTACAACCCTTACTGACTCGTTAACATTAAAATTGAACATTAATGAACTACAAAGAGTGAAGTCGTCAATCAATTACGGAAGAGTTAGAATAAAATGTAACGGAGTATCGTGCGACCAGAGTGCACACGATATGATCTCAATACACTACCCCCAATAATGTCGCTACCGACACTGTTTATACACAATGTCCTCGTTACTGTGAGTCACTTGGTTACTGTGAGTCTAACTACCGATGGAAGTTGATGACGTTAGACACAGCGACACTGGAGTTGTCGTCGGAGTGCGCGGCCGACACGTGTACACACTGTTAGGACTCTGTGCGCCATACTCTGTAATTTTATGCTAATATTCGGCTAACAATGTTCAGCTCGTCACTTGCGGACTATTTAGTGTATCGATGTTTCTGCTGTTCGTGCCAATTTATGGGAGACTGGAACTGTCAGCCATTAGTGGCAATCTAAAAGCATGTTGCAATGCAACAACAGATTGCAAAAGATCCACAATCAATTTGATGACTATTACTGTTAACCTCGACGTATAAGTATAGTTGCGGAGTCCCCCCAGTGTGTACAGTGTCCGACTGAGCACTACATCCGCTCGGTGAGTGATCACCTCGAACTCTGTCCGGTCTCCGGGCTCATAGACGAAGTCCGACTTCTCAATGACGTCAATGAGTGGCGTGACGACGTGGTGGTAGTCGTCCTTGATGCGGTGGAGTAACGGTCGGAGCCAGTCCTGCAGGGCCTCGCAGTGGGAGTCCAGGAACACGAGCACGTCGCCCAGGGCCACGCGGCTGCCCGCCATCCTGGCCTGGGTCAAGCCTACCCTGGGTGTTGTACGACGTCTTAGTGAAACCACCACTCCTGGGACCTTGGTCCCCTCGTAACGTGGAACGGGTGCTATAGAGGATCAATCCTTCTGGTGATGCTGTCATCCGTCTATAGTTTGGCGCGGTACATGTCTCATTCGCCGCCGAACTATGACAACCAATGTGGAGTGGAGATTGCATCGTGTCTCCTGTATTAGTTCCCCAACGTCGGCGGAATACAGATTACTTAATCTACAGATTTAGTATTGATACAGGTTACAGTTTCGGCTGTCAGTGTTTAGGTCTCTTTACTACATTTGTTCAATGGTTTGCGTAACGCGTCTACTAATCCAACGAGGGAATCATTGAGGTACCTGGGTATGGGTACAGCAGCACTCTTTCATTATAAGTCACATTAGTATTACCTACTGTTGGAGCAAGAGTGTGTTGTCACTAATTGTGGGAGAGCCATGCTTCGGCTCAACCGGAGTGATACCACGGCCGAGGAGAAAACCGACGTGAAACGACACTTGCGTTGTGTCTCGTCGTGTCGGCGAGGTTACCAGAGGCCCCACTACCCTCCTCTCCAATCTCCAAGTCCCCAACAATCCTAAAATTCCTAACCCCCAATAACGACGGCAACAGACTTGTAACTCTTCTAGTGTTCCGGGTGTCGGTGGGTGGCGCCGATTGCTTACCGTCCCGACCATGACCCGACTACTCATTTACCGGTTTGTCTAATAAAAAAATAAAACAAAGAGGCTATTTCTACAGCCAATACATTAATTACACCTGCTGATGTTCTTATTGGCGTTTCTATAATTAGAATAAGATCGCTGCGCTGGTGAGAAATCAATCAATGAATCGGCAGCGAATGTTTAGTGAGATGTCACAAATAGCTTCCAATGATCGAATACATCACAACCTCGAGTACTCGGCCGCGTGGAGTAACAATCGAATAAGGTAATCCAGTGTAGGGCATTATGTGATTGTCAATCAATGAAGTATTGTAAGCACACGTGGTAGGATATTGTCGCGCGTGCACTCAAACAATCAAACAATACTTGTTTGATTTGTTGTTACAATTATTTTGAACGCCTATATGTATACATATAAGTTGTCATGGATACCATCGTGTAGTAATGTATTACTTTATGTAACTTACACAACAGCCTGTACAACTTGTAGAAAATAACATATAAATACCACTTTTACATATTAACCAAAAAAAGCTAAGCGATGAGCATAATTTCGTATCTGATACTCTGACACTCCGAGTGAGAGGACAGAATCTCTTTTAATGTAGAACAGGGGAATATCACCATCAGCCGAAATACGTCCACAGCAGTGGACCAGCCGTGGTGTACGTGGTGGACAAACACTTAGCATTTGTTTTTAACGGGTGCCAACGAAGTATTGCTCATCAAATGGTGTATATATGTAGTAAGGGATTTTTTTGTTCAACCACAGCAGCTGTCAAATATCCAATGTCCAAATGGTGTAACATTAGTTAGTTCCTTATTGGACGATGAACTGGAGATGCAAACTGGCGCCATCTAGTGAACAATCATAAAATACGATAGGCCCCCTTGACGTCACCGACACCGGCCAATGACAGTCCACAGCTATACTATGGAGTATGGAAGGCCTCACTATGAAAGACGTTTGCCGTAATCTCTACGCTTGGCTAACCAGTTGGAGATCGCAGTTAATTAGTGTCTCTGGTGGTGACATATGCTTACCGGTCCGGTAGCCGAAGTATCCGGATGAGGTCGGGCGGCAGCCGGGTGCGCACGTAGTGGCTCAGCTTGCCCTTCAGCTCCGGCAGCGTCGAGTTGTCATCCACCAGGATTATCTCTTTCAGGTACACGAACTTGGACTTCGGATCCTGGCCCGGGTACCCTGACAAATAAACCGATTTATCAAAATTAATGGGATAAGGCTGCAAACTGTGCGCTGAAACAGTTCAATTTTACTTAAGAGAGTGATACCAACGGTCTCATCGGAAACTGGCGCGAAACAACGCATGCGTGGTTTGCGGCGGAGATCGCTAGCTCCGACACCGGACACCCGGAACATCAGAGAAAATACAAGTCCGTTGTCAGCCCATGGGGTGGGGTAGGATTGGGCCTCCCATATCCTGACTCAGACGGTAATACACAACAAAAGCGTTGGTTCACACCGGTTGTCCTTGAGGCCGTGGTAGCACTCCGTTAAGTAAAATTGATCTCTAATCGCCCTGCAATAAAGTATAAGCTCACCTGCAGTAGTGACTCTTCCAGTCTGGCGGTCCAGGAAGCTGGCGTGCTTGTACCACGGCTGGCTGCGACGCGCGCTGTTCAATACGCTCCATATCGTCCTTACTACCACGGAATAAGGTTCATTGTGGAATATCAGGATCACGGACGCTGATGGTAGTTCAGCATCGTATATCACGCGCTTGCACGCTGGGTTGCGGAAGTCTGAAACAAGAAATAGTTTTATACATGAATCTTGGTCCTCTCCGGAGAGGCAAGCACAGGTATACGGTGTACGGACATACTGGCACTGCACTGTTCCACTGCTGCACAGTTGGTGCGGTGGCTGGGCAACCGACTGCCGCGCAACGTGACGCGGGTTCGTTCCTGCACGGAACAACTCTGTGTGATCCACAGATTGTGGTTCCGGGTCTGGGTGTCATGTGTACGCGAACTTGTATGTTTGTAAATGCACCCACGACACAGGAAAAAATCCTAGCGTGGAACAACATTTTGGAAAAGAAAAAAGTATTTCTGCCAGAGTATATGGGTGAAGTCGCTACCTATTATTTATATAACTAAGAACAGGGTTGGGGTGATTAGTCAGAGTCTGCTACTCCCTCTCGCCTCACCCAGGGTGGGGGAGGAGTCATTTGAAGATTCTCCACTCACATGTGTGAACCTGTGACCGACTTGCTCAATGGTTGTGTTTGCGACAACTCAACCACAAAGGCAGTCTGTCAAATGTAAACTGAATACTGCCTACTCTAGTTACCTACAATGTATTTATTTATGCCACTGAAGTTGATAGTTATCGCAGTTACAGGTCACTGCCAAGTGCCAGGATGCAAGTGAACCGTGAAGCGTGGAGTATGACCTTTTCACACGTTCCGGTTATCGCCGTGCCGGGTAACCGTCACACGTATACTGCTGGAATGCTGGACACCCGACACCCGACAGCCCGGCAGCCGGATACTGTGATAGTCTCGATGAGAGGACATGTGGCGGCGATGCTGAGCTGACTGCACTATCAGAGATTTAGTATGGTTTAGGGGACAAACAAGCAGATGAATGACATAATAGTAAGCAATCAGCGCCGCCTATGGACACCCGCAACACGAATAAGTCATAAGCGCGTTGCCAGCTTTTAAACAAGATTGGGCCAGAGGTGTGAGTGCTTAACAAGTACGTATGGCTATTAAACACCGCGCGGTCACCGGTGACCGCAACCTATTGTTCTATAATTGTGTCTGCAAAACCGGTACTCGACGAGTTAATCACACAGACAGATCGTACGGTGTGGTAGGTAAAAATAAATAATCGTAAACAGTAGAATGACGGACCTCTCTTCCCTCAGGAGGCCATGTATAATGTTGACCCAACAGAAAGTACCCCTTGCTGGCTATTACTTGAGTATTTAAAATACCGTGAAAATTTAGTTATGTACGAGTTGTAGGCATTACATAAAATAATTTAACAGACCGGAGAAATGATTAGGTGTGATTAGTTTGGACCGTTTTATCACCACAGAACAACGTCGTAAAGTACCGCTCGATAGTAACACTGGTTGATAACTTCAGCGGGACGAACAAGGCCGACTGTACCTGCCACCGGTGCTTAACTGTACATTTATAACTATTGCATAAGTAAAGACATTCATAAGTGGTCACGATACGATCACCGATGATGACGCAGTGGCTGGCGCGAGGGTCCGACTCCCGTATGGATTACGGATTACGAATACGATACTACCATTGTAGGGTAGTGAAGGACTGTTAAACTCTAACATACTGAACTAAATACTTATTAGGTTTATTGACGATCCCCAAACATGCGAAAACTAGTTGAAAAGACCTCCAGAGGTAATAAGGATTAAAGTCTACGTGACGCGGTTGTTGACACTAAAACTACCATAGAAAGCATAACGTCATATTTCAAAACTTTTCCAATAATTTCGCAGGAAATTGTTCATATTATGTATATAGCATCAGTTTGTATTGTATTGTATGAAAATTGAGACGGCGTGAGAATATAATTGTGTGGCACGGGTACATACTGCGCTGCTCATTAGGTATTTATTACAATAACCCATCGCAGTATGTATGTCAGTAGGTGGATATATTCAACATTACCAACACGAGTGATTGATGACTGATGAGTCGCTGGGACAACTTGACTACTCATCGTGTTCACTATAGGCGACGGCTTTTTTATGGTTTAAGCTGGTAAACGAGCAGACGGACCTTACCTAATGGTTACCTAATCGGCGTCGCCCATGGACACCTGGAACACCAGAGGCGTTACAAGTGCGTTACCGGCCTTTTGGGGATTAGAAATTTGAGGAACGTCAGGGATTCAGGAATTGGGGACGAGAGGGATAGTTAGGCCTCCGGTAACCTCATTCACACGACGAAACACAACGGAAGCGTTGTTTCACGTCGGTTTTCTGCTCGGCCGTGGTATCACTCCGGTCGAGCCGGCCCATTCGTGCCGAAGCACCGCTCCGCGCGCGCCTCAAAGAGCCATCAGACCACCACGGATGGGGCCCAATAGGGCTGATGCCGATACGCGGAGAGCCTAACGGGTTACTGGGGCTCCGGCTCGAAGTGCAGGAATAGGAACGGAGTCGCTTTTAGTCAGTAAGAAGTAAGTAAGAGTCTGACACTGAGGCGGGAGGAGTCATTCGATAATTTCCCCCTCTTAAAAAACAAAACACTTTCCAAAGGGTCTCCGAATTTATTGTTGCCCAAGCGCCCCAGCGATGACGATGATGAGTAGTACCATACTTGCTCAAGTAACCACTCATCTTCTATAGAGCAGTGTATAACTAGTTCTGACGTCTACTAGTGCAGTGGTGGCCAGCCGCTAGTGTCCGCTATGATTATGAATCAAACAGATGGCCGTAGTTATCGTGTGTGTGTGCGTGGTGGCTACACACACAGGCGCGCGGCTCATTTCACGGTGGCGGGCACATTACGTAGACGAGTACCACGTAATCCTTCAATAACAGTCTAACTGTAGTTACTATAATCAACATACTAATACTATCACGCGCGTCTTTCTACAGAAGGGGTAGGCAGGAAGAGGAAAGGTACGTGTCCGATGCGCGGACTAGCGGAACACAGATCCGGTCTCTAAGAGAATTCATGGTCGAACGTTTGAACTCGTCCTTAAAGGCGGTCTCCGACTGGAGTGACGTCCACTTGGTCAAGTTCAACGCTAGCAAAACCCAGGCGTGTGTATTCTCCGCCAAACGGAGTCAATTTCCTCTGACTCCTATTTTCCAGATTGTATTCGTACCGATAACTGATCATCTTGAGCTTCTTGGCGTAACTTTGACGCCCACACTCAACGTTGGCTCCTATATAGAGTCAAAAGTGCAACTGGCTGGTAGGAAACTGGGTATCCTATGGAGGGTGAGACGGTACTTCACGCCGAAACAATTGCTGAGCCTGTACCAAGCACAGGTTCGGTCCTGTATGGAGTACTGCTCTCATCTTTGGGACGGCTTGGCCAAATATCAGCTGGACGCGTTAGAGCATATCGAGAGGCGTGCCAACAGGCTTACCAACGATGATACGCGTGCGATAGAGGCTCGGCTTCAAAGCCTCGAACACAGACGTAAGGTTGCAAGCGTTTCTGTTTTCTACCGGATGCATTTCGGTAAGTGTGCGGGGGAATTATACAACTTGATTCCTCTAGCCCTTTCCATCATCGTACCGCAAGACAATCGGCGAAGCGCCACCGATTAATGGTAGATGTCCCACCCACACGCACGAAGCGCTTCGCATCAAGCTTCCTTGTGCGTACTGCTAAGGAGTGGAATTCTTTGCCAGAGTTTAATTCCTGAACGGCATAACCTGGGTGTCTTCAAGGCCCGAGTGAATAGGTTGCTTATAGGACGACGTGGTCCATCGCAGACCGCATCATCGATTACCACCAGGCGAGATAGCGGGCAAACGTCGGCCGATCAAACATAAAGAATGCAGAGCTGCAGATGTTAAACGGATCACTGAATTTTCATCAGTGCCGTGCCATGTAACAGGGGGCGGGCTAGTTTAATGCTATCAGGCAGCACTGCTGATTCCGTGCTACTGATCCAAAAATCGAACTAGTCACCCTCTTCCTCGGTAGTTGCAGTAACAACTTGATATCACTCTACCAACGAGGTAGCGAGACTGAAGTGCGACTTCTGTCTGTCTGTTGCACTTATAATATAACAATTAACTACTTACCTAAAGTACTCATTAATTAAACAACTACATGTTTATTGTCATTGTTTGTTTCCTAGAAAATAATTTAATTGAAAGTAAACATAATATATAATACATTTGTCCTGTCCTGACACCACTAGGCACCATGAATAACATTTGTACAAACATACAAACTACATAATTTAATTTAATTCTGTTAATTAACATTTCTGTGAAAATAATAATAATAATAATAATAAAATTTATTTTCAAACATAATGATCTAGAAATGTACAGTTTTGCTTAAAGTTAAATAAAGTTCACAATATAAGGTGCCTGAACTAGGAAATCCTGTGTTTCAGGCGAGGTTAGGTAATAGTAGTAAACAATGTTATATAATCACTAGTACTTAAATGCTAATAAGTTAGGGTAAATTATGACAATATTTAATTATATGTA